TTTTTTTTTTTTTTTTTTTTGCACGACTGACTTCCCTAATTCGTTCCCGCGATATATTCGATACACGTGTGTATCTTTGTTTAAAAGCGCAAAAACCAAAGTAATGCGATGTAAATTGACGCAACTTGGACAAAACTGATGGTAAAGTTGAAACGACGTTTTTGCCAAGTACGCCAAATTGTGTGCTCTGTGTGCAGCATTCGTACGAAATTTTCGATTCCGTTTTTAGATAGCAATTCTGTTCCGTATATTGCTTTTTTGCGCAACATGTTGAGCGAGATGAACATTCTGCTTTTTCGTAATCGCTCAATACGATTATCAATGTCGTTGTCTCTTTATGCAATACGAGTGTTTTTTTTTTTTTTTTTTTTAAAGACGAAAAAATAAGATTAGAAAGCGGCATTCACGAAGCGTTTATGCATTCAATAAAATTTTAACGAGGTCGAAACTCTCGCCACTTCCGCGATGATTGAATGAAACGCAATAAAAGGGGTGCCGAGAGTTACATACGCGAACCCGTTTGAAATCGTGCGACAGTCGAAAAAGGACAGGGGTGAAAGGCCTCTCTCCCTCGTTGTTTTAGTATACCTTCCGCGTGTAGACGTTTTCCATGTACGTGACGTTTATAAAGTGTGACTATGCAACGCGTGGCCTGGTGAATATTAATTACCGCGCGCGCATCCCGCGCTTAGGATGCTCAAGCTTGCACTTCGTAACTCCATCCAAAATTACGTCCGGCCGACAGTTATCGTATCTCTGTCGTCCTATCGTAAAACGGAGTTCCAAAAAAAAAGGCACAAACGAAAGAAGAAAAAAAAAGTTAGAGGTAAGACAACGTGAGCCGAAATATTTAAAAAGATGCAGAACGATTTTTTTCTTCGCTCGCGAGAATCTATTTGCATCGTCACGTTCTGATACGTACGCGTTCTCGCAATCGCGGCGACGAACTGTCTCCGGCTCTCTAGAAGAGGTCTAAAAACGAGCAGCTAATCTGCCAACGAAACGAATATAATCGGACGTTTTGAAACGTTCCTCGAAACTTCAAAGCTACTCGCTCCGCGTCAAAGGACGCATGGTCACCGGTATAAGTTACGGGCGTTTGTTAGAGACACGCGCGACAAAGTTGCATTATTTGTTACGGAGATTTCTAGAGAGTTGCTTTGATACGTCGCCCGATAATCGTACATTTACGTACTCGTAAATCATTCCGAATTGAGGAAATAAACGTCGTCGTAACGATATTGTAATAATGAATTTGTCCTTTTGTAACGCGTGCAATAAGTTATTTCATAAAGTCTCTTGAGCCTGAAGATTCGAGAATGCGCGTTCTTATTATTTTTAACATCGCTATATTACAGAAAAAGAATATATATCTAATATA